AATTGACGACACTCAGGTTTTCAGCAGCATAACGTCGCCAGTTTTAAACCTTTCGCTGACGGCGGCATAATTGAGATCGCAAGCGGCGATTATCGTTATTTAATAACATTTTTCTTTCTGTATCGGGAGAACTTCAGGTTTTTCGTACTATTTCGATGAAACACATATCTTCTACAGTTCATGAACTTTTTGTGCATATATAACTCTTATGTAAGTAGTAAAACTCCGATGTGGGCGTAATTCTATTTTCGCTCCTACACTGCACTGTTTAGGACATTTTTTGAAACAAATTGATCTTCAGATCGTCGACATTTCTGCTATAATTGAGCGGCAGCAATAATCTAATCCTTCTCTCTCTCTCTTTCTCTCTCTCAATCTCTTTTCCTTTTTCTTTCTCTTTCTCTCTCTTTCTTCTACCCCTTCTCTCTGTCTTTTCTCTTCCTCTCTTCTTTCTCTTTTCCCTCTCTTTTCTCTCTCTTCACTTCTCTCTCCCTCTCTTCTCTTCTCTTTCTCTTTCTCTCCTCCTCATTCTCTTTCGCTCTCTTCTTCTCTTTCTCTCTCTTTCCTCCCCTTTCTCTTTCTTTCCCTTTCTCTCTCTTTCTCTCCTACCTCCCCCTCCTTCTCCTTCTCTTCCGCCTCTCCCTCTTTCTCTTTCTATTTCTCGCCCCTCTTTATCTCTTCTTCTCTCTTTTTTCTTTCTATTTCTCTTTCTCTTTTTCTCCTTCTTTCTCTCCCTTCCTTTCCCCTCTTTCGCATCTCTCCCTCTTCCTGTTTTGATTTCTCTCCCCCCTTACTCTCCTCTCTCTTTTCTCTTTCTCTTTCTCTTTTTTCCTCTTCTCTCCCTTTATCAATTCCCTCTCTCATACTCTTCCCTCTTTGTCTTCATCCCTCTCTCCTTTCTTTCTCTCTTCCTCTTCACCTCCCTCTCTCTCTCTCTTACCCTCCATGTCTTTCTTTTGACGTCGCATTGAATGCGAATTCTGAAATTACAGAAGCTCTCCTGTATTGTCAAGTCTGCTCTGCTCCACCATCAGTAGACGTAGTTTCCCAATTATTATTTAATTGTGAACTCTTACTAAATTAGACCAGAATTTTTGTCAGTACTCTACCAAAATTCCTTTCCAGTACCAAGGTCTTCTTATCTGATGAAATAATCACGGATGACCAAAAAACCTCCAAATCAAAATCTTCTTTCACTTTTATTTAGTGAAGTGATAATCAATCTAGTTTTTTCCTCTCTCTTTTTCTCACTTTTTTCTGGAAAGGTGTGAATTTGTTCACCCTTTTTCTCCGTCAATTTTAGGATATCAAGAAAGTTGTTGAAGTCAGAAGTGCTACCGTAAGAAGCATAGTATTTTGAGATAATGGATAAAACTGCCGGCGCTGATTCCATCCCTGAGGGATGAGCTATGCATTCGTCTTCAATTTTTAACCTCGTTTTGAGATGATGAATGCATATCTTGCCTTCACGATGGCTCGCGGCGGCCTGCCGACGTATCGAGACAGAATATCGGAAATAAGGTGGGCCGGACATGTGATGCGCTTCAACGACAACCGATGGGCGAGAGCCGTTACCGATGGATTCCTCGGATGTCTCTGCACTCCATGGTGAGAGACCATGAACCCGATGGTCCGTTTTTTTTTTTCGCGAAAAAACTCAGAGAAAGATATGAATGCTCAGCGAATCCCTAGAACGAGAAGCACCAATAGGCTACTCGTGCACGCGGATGGAGAAAAATGAAAGTGTAGTGTTGCTGTGCCGCCTCAAATCACTAGATGATCAACGGCACGACAGGTGATACAGATGTCAGGTGACCGATGGATCAGGTTACTGGCTGCTGTCTCTTTATCAGCACCGTGTGCGGTACTACAATTACCCGACCCGGGGCGGGGGCGAGGTTGATTGCTTGGTGCGAGACCATGAACGCGACATTGAACCATCGACCCTTGTGTTGCGCACGAACCAAAACACCTCTAACGATTGTGTATCACACGCTAATCTTGAGTATTTCAAACAATATTTAAACCGCCATAAAGTTTCCATATAGTTGAATTCTGTAGAGAGGTAAAGAATGGGCAAGCACGGGTTTTTTTTTTTTGAACGCCTAACAACGAGAAACAGTACACATTAAATCAACTGTCTTTTTCAACGCAAGTGGTTCAATGCCGATAGCGGCTGCCCCGCCAGACCGTTCGAAGGTTGGCTGTTGGCAGATAACGCGTTATAGCGTAGAAACGAGTGCTGTGCAAAACGAGCGCTGGTGATGCTACGGTTAGCATTCGCTCCCTGAAAGAGTGAGATCTAGGTTCAACCCGGCTAACGCGAACGTTTTTGCACAGCACTCCACATTATTGGGTATACTATAACACATACCACTGCAAGTGGCAGTCAAATAAAAAGAATTCTACTTTTTTTTTTTCAAATTTCTACCTCGATATCGTTTTATCGAGATTTTCAATATCACCAAGTGCTTTCTCGAAGCTATGCAGGATAGTGTCATCAGAAAAGGAATTCTTAGTATGAGGATAAAGCTTTTGAACACCCGCCCAAAATTCGTAGTTTCTACATTGATTCAATCAAAAAAGCACTAATTATTCCTCAAACAAAGACCATTATCATAGCCACTGATGTAGAGTGATGTGCAAAAACATTTGCTTCAAGCGAGAATTGAACCCGCGTTTTACCCAGTCCGGGAACGCGTGCTCTACCACTTGCACCATCGACGCCTGTTTTTGACACCACTCTTTCTACTCTATAGCGCAACTATTTGATCATGTAATGTCCAGGATGTGTTAGCGTGACTGGGTTTAATCTCACTAGCGACTACCTGGGCCATGCCGTTGACGGTTTGCTTGCTGGTAGAATAGATGCGTTGTAGCGTAGAAAGAGTGATGTCAAAACAGGCGTTGTAAGGGATAGAGCACGCGCCCCCGCAATGAGTGGAATGCTGGTCAAGTTCCGTCTGCTACAAATGTTTTGCACATCACTCTACATATAAGTGTTTTATTTATAACATAGTACTACCGCTATAAGCAGTTAAATGAAGATAAATTCTATTCAAAGACCATTACTATCCCGATTTTTTACCGACGATCTGCAATCTTCCGAATGTGGTCGAAATCGTCACCATGCCCCTTTTGACTTGATCAAATGTCTCGAGTCCACACAGGATTTGTTCCGTTTGGCGGAATCGGATCCGATATCGGACGACGCAGCATCTGAACTGTAGGCTGGGTACGGCAAGAGCTCGACTCCCTCCATTCATCAAAACTTTTCCATAGCTTCTTTGAGGTATGAAGTTTGACATTGTCCTGCTGAAGCAGCGCGCCTTCGATGGATCATTGTCTGGCATTTTTCCTTCAGCACATCGTAGACTGGTCCGGCCGCATTGTCATGGAATGATCCTGGAATCACCTGTCGTCCCGTGGATCGTCGAGTGACTCGAGCGGGCACCAGCAGCACTTCCATTTTTTCCCTATCACGTGTAAGAGTATTCAGTGGGTCTTCACTTTAGGGATTCACTGAGCGCTGTTTTCTTCCTCTCTAGGCTTTTAGTGGAAAAAATCGGACCATCAGGTCGGTGGTCTTTCTGTGGAGCGCTCAACACGCCGGGTTCTCCAGACGCTAAAGGCTCTCGTCAAGCGGTTGTCGTTGAACCCTAGAAACGCAATTTTTGAGATATTCTCATGAGTTTACAATGGCCTATACTATGTGAAACAAACATAAAATTTGAATTTTTTGCGAGTGTTAAGGAACTTTTTCCTCCGTAGTAGTAAATCAAATAAGAGTTAGAAATAAGAAGAAGAAGAAGAAGTTTGATTAGTTAAGCAGTAAAATTGCTGAAAATCTGCTAAGTTAATGAAATTACTAAAGTTGCTATTAACTACTACTTCTTAGCACCGATCGCTCTTATCTATGGGATTTCAGGGTGTAGGCGACCCACTTACCAAAGGGCGAAGTTCAAGAAGCCCCGGTGATTGTTTTATCAACCATGGATGCTCTTACTGGAAGCATTATTTTCGTTATCGTATTCTCTCCATTTATATCTAGCACTTACTTTATGCGAGGCCGGCCATCTGTGACACATAGGAGACCAAGGACCCCACTCCCTATGTGTTACCCTCATCGAGTTGCGTCTAACAGTGGCGTCTAAGCTGAGCATACCATTGTTAGACGCAACACGGTGGAGGTCGGACTCGTAGAGGGTTGGGTCCATGGTCCTCGAAGGATAATAGATAGCAGGTCTCGAATGAAGTGGTAGACACAAATTGTCCCGTAGGGATTAACTGCGGCAAACAAAAATGGCCCAGTGTTTCTCATTGATGAGCAGATACGAGGCTGTTGATAGTAGAGGATTTATTGGATACCCACTAAGCACAGCAAAGAAAAATGGCTGGCGCTTCGGCGGTATTGAGTTGTTCGCAGGCGTTTTTTCTAATGTTATTCTCTGTGCCCATCTTCACAGTTTTTTCTTACACTGCGAGAATCTCAGTACTTCTAGATTTCACCTCGTCTTCTTGTATTCATCGCCTGCTTGAAGATTTTGTCTTCTTCATGAAGACCTTGTGATAACGCCCGGACAGATCTCCTTGCACTATCGAGCATAACCAAGAAGAGCATTCCTAGGAGCAGATCTTTGCAATTGTGTCGAAGAAGGAATGTTGGCGAAACAGGAGTGCCAGCAGTGGAATGATTGGCACGCGTCCTCGTAAAGCTTGAAATGCAAGTTAAAGTCCTGTCCGGCATTCAAAGATCTAATTATCACTTGGTAAAATTAGGTATATACCTAGGGGAATTGAGTGATGAGCAAAAACACGCCCTAAACGGGAATCGACCCGCATTCAATCCTATCTGGAGATACGTGCTCTACCACTACACCACCAAGGCACATTTGCGCCACCACTCATTCTCCAACATCTCTAAATTAGCTATCAATCACCAGTCTTCAACAGGTTTGGTCGGGTATGCGATTTCGCTTTCCAAACCCAGTTGAGCTGACAGCCAGTATAATAACTAATACTCGATGTTTTGTGGTGTAGTAGTAGTAGTAGCACGGTATGGATGGAACGCGGGTTCGATTCCCGCCTGAGCCGTGTTTTTGCTCATCACACAATTCTTAGGTATATATGAAACATGATAACACTGCGAAAAATGCTGTAAAAATGCGAGAAATTTCGATTACTAGTTCTTACAATTCTTCCTTAGAGCATTTTTTCATCGTTTGGGAGAGTGTTTGCGGAAGGGGAAAATTAACTCCCCGACAAGTATTACTAATCACTGGCCACCCACAGTCCCTCGCCCTTCTCCGACGACTCGATTCTTTTGAACTTTGAACTCTTCCAATTATTCGGTCGAGACAAATCGTAAAGAGTACTGCATTGGATAAGAATGTACATTTAGTTGATTCAAAAATTTCTACTATTAACAGCATAGCATCTCCTTCTTGGGAAGAAGTGAAAACTTGATGGTGAGCAACATAACGAATATCTCTTGAGTACATGAAATAGGCTGATTTTGTCTCAAAAATTCGGTAGTATTTCACTTATCGCCAAACATGGTGAAACGATTGCAATACGAAATTCTCTTACGTATCCGACAGTTTTCACCATCAGAACCGCGTTAGGCTGAAGGATTTGCTAGTGTCCGTAATCGACCATGGATTTCGACGCTTTGTGAAACACTTCTGCATTTATTTGACAGATTCAGTAATACGTCGATAGCTTAAATCTCGACGATTTCACTGTTATACTTCATTTTTGAAAAGCCTTTTCTGGTGCGTTGTAGCAGTAAGAAATAAAATTGTGTTTCACATTAGGCGCGTCTCACGCTTAAACCCATACGAACCCGTGGACCCGCGGCCTCCCATCTCTGACCTTCAGAGCGTTACATCTAACAATAGCGTTGATCGGCGTCTGCCATTGTTGACGCAACACTGGAGCTAGACGCCATTGTTAGACGGAACGCATTAAGGGTCAGAGACGATGAGGCCGTGCAGCCACGGTACCGTAAGGGTTGAGGCTTCCCAAGCACTCCATGTTTGCGGGCTTGGTGAATTGGTACTAGACTTTTTGGTTGCGTAGCATTACTGACTTGATACATCTGTCGGCTACCGCTTGTCATTGTAAAGGGCCGTAACTTAGAAATTGTGGAATGATTTACAGCTTTATGTGAAGACACGTACACGTTAATCAGGGAACACACATCGAGCGTTACAAGAGGAAAAATGACGTCGGATCTATATCGCCATTTTTTGATGATCACATGTTTGCCTTCAAACAATCATTCAAAGCGATATTTGCAAGTATTGCGGTCGTTTCATCTTTCACTCACTATATCTCTTGAACACCACACACTTGTGCTCAGACGAATCGTCTATTTTTTGTTAGTATAAAGTAGTTTTTGGTGTGCGCTCTTCATGGAGAAAGATTCGGGCGGCCTATGCTCGTTTAAATCTTCCTCTCGAATCACGGAGCCGAGTTCCTCGAGTTTTCACAGCGAGTCTGAAACATCTCTACATCGTCGAGTTGTTTAGGAGAAATTACATTCAATGTCAAATTCGTTTTATCACAGATTCTTAATCAGGACTTTGGAAGTCTGATTGAATTTTGGACCGTGACTTCAAGAAGTTAAAGAACTTACGCTGACGACTCCAGTACTTTTTTTTTGGTTTTCGGGGTTTCGTCGTCCTTCCTCTTCCTTTCAATACCGACTTCCTAGAGATTTACACTTTTTGATGGGTGCCTTCTTCGAGCTCTTGATTTAGTTCTCACTGAGTGCCGAGTTCGGCTGCGGCGTGCACTTCTAGAACGCGAGGACGATGTTCGTCGCCTCGAGGACCTTAATACTTTGCTAATTTACTCAGCTTACTTTCCATGGAATAGGCATCAGACAATCCTATACCGTTATTTGCCCAAAATTAGTGAGGTCTTCTCAAAAAAGAACATAGTTCTCACCTCTCTCGGCTCTGCGAAATCGATGCAGATATTGCCGATTTTTCTTCAAGTAGGATCAGAGACGGAGCCGTAGCATCACAACGGTAGCACTGAATTCGCTTTAGGGTGGACACTGGCCGTCTTGCAGTTTGACCGGGCTTAAGGCTTCTGGATCCTCGTCGTCTCGTTGCCGCTAAAGGCATGTTAATAAACTGAATCACACCCTAGCAGAATCATCTTTCATATGCTCTGTGTTTTCACTAAGATATTTACCACGCCTATACAAGTGTTGATAAAAACTTATGTTAATGGTATGATATTCTTATCACTAGAAACAACTGAAGAGAATTGGACGAACACGTCAGGTTTTCAGCCAGCATAATCGTCGGTGGTTTTTTAACCCTTCGCTGACAGCACCATGAGCGGTATCGGAAGCGCGGCGTGCGATTTTAGCCATTTTCTTTCTGTACTGAAAGGGAATTTCAGGTTTTTTCGCGCTATTCTGATGGAACATAATTTTATCTACAAGCTCATGAAGTTTTTGCGCATATATAACTCTTATTTACGTAGAAAACTCCGAATGTGAAGCGTAATTCTAATTTTCGCTCTCACACCGCTCTGTTAAGACATTTTTTGAAACCAAATTGATCTCCAGAATCATCGACATTTGTGCTGTAGATTGAGCGTCTTTTGATTAGCATAAGCTAATCTTTCTCTCTCTCTCTCTCTGTCTCATTCTCTTTCCCTTTTTCTTTCTTTCTCTCTCTCTCTTTCTCTCTCTTCCTCTTTCTCCT